TGACCTTGCCCCATCCTCCAAAAAAGCAACCTTCTCACAAATTGGAAAGACTGAAATGTAAAGTCACTTTCCCAGTCACAGAAATAAAAGCCAAATACCCAGAGCAAACAATGAAGCAACCATAATGGGCAGAGTGGAATGTTGGTCAGAGACGAAAACCCCAAAATCAAACAACTGAGTGGTGGTGGCTCTGGAAAACAAAGTTCTCCTGGATCCCAGAAGAGGCTTCCGACGTACAAACAAGCTCGGATTTCCAGAAACGCATATAAGAACACAGGAATACTATTCAGCAGGGCCGTCGGTTTGAGCACTGGGGGCAGGGAGGTATTTGCTTTAACTCTGAAAAGGAAGCCGCTGGGTCTCTTATTAATTTTGAGAGCGTAAGTTCAAGCAAAACTACATCCCATCTGAACCAAAGGCCACGGAGTGCCAAGCACAACAACTTGATGAAGCTCTTTCAAAAGGCGTCTTTAATTGGAATGCCCTTTCCAACAGCCAGATCCTGGTTTGGAACTTCTGATTCTTAAACGAGCATGGCAAGCGAGAGCAGTCCATGGCCAACTGCTAACACGAAGAGGCGAACCTTCCACTCGGTTCTCCCGAGCGCTGGAACTGGCCGCAGAAAGAAACACAGGGTTTTCACTCCAGGAGATCAAAGAAGGCATTCTGTACCAGGAAACCCAGTTCAAATCCTCATTTCCAGGAATAAGGCCACCGTGCCCAATACTTGCTTTGGCAAAATAAAACAAGAGACTATGTGAACTCCAGTTAAAATCGCCAATGGCTTCATTTCCCAGCCTCACCAGTTGAATGCTGTTAACAGTTGACCCAGGCACTGCTTTAACTTAAATACCAGCTCCCAGGTCTGAATAGTCACCCTTACCACTGGGTAAAAGCCAAAGCATTTGAACATGTCATGACAGCATTCTTTGTCCCATCCGGAGCACTGGATGTGTAAGACAAGGTGATGCTGAGAAGTGCCAGCTCTCCCATAACCACAGTCAGAAGCCCCGCTGCAGCACATGCTATTATTTTAGTCTCAATCCAGGAATCCCCGGCTTTTCAAAGTTCATGTTACGCCACTTTGCTTTTACAAAAGACCTACATTGGTACCTGTTTTTACTAACAGGAAGAAATCAAAAGAGGATTTTTGCTTTTATTAAAAAAAAAAAAAAAGCCCAAAAGAAAACTAGCATTTTCTTTTCAGGGAGCCCTTATAGAGGCAGCAGCACCCCGAGCGGCGATGAGTGGTACCCCCACGCTCCTTTCCCAGGAACCAAGCTCAGCATCCCAGCACGGGCTGCCTGAGCTCTGAACTGTGTCTATGAGCATCTATGCTTTATCTCCATTTATTCTGTGCATTCCTGCTTTTAGTAGATGATAATGTTATTTTTGGTTTTATGTGTTATTTGGTATGATTTAGTAGGTTATTTTGGGGGCCTGGTGATGTTCAAAAATTTTTCCATATAAATGAATGGTAATTGCTTTTTTGCTTTATGCCATTTCAGCTTAGGAAAGCTTTCATAGGAACGCTCCAATTCAGAGAGCAGGGAAAACCTGTATTGGAAGTGAGAGTAGAAGCAGGAGAAAATAGAGGGGATATGCCTCAGTCTTACTTGTATAACAACAATCATCTTTGCTTTAAATTATCACCTAGGGTCTTGTCAATCAGCCATTTGTTCTTATGTGCCTACTTCACACAGGCACCACGCTAAGTCAGAACAGTGCAGTGAAGTATTCCCCAAGTAATCATTATGTTAATGGTTATGTTTAATTATCTTCTATAAAAATTATGTATCATGTATGTAGGTGATAAAGTCTAAAGTCAAATTGGCACCCATGAACCTATTACTGAACCCCAAACCAGAATATCACCAATACTGTGTCATCTATCTACCTCCTCCACATTATCCCCATGTTTCAACACACACCAGATAATTATCCTGAATTTGGGGGTTCAATAGGAGTAAATGCATCTTTATAATTATCTCCTGTTCCTAATAAGTGAGTTGGCTTTCCAATATGACTATGATATAGTTTCCTCTTAAAAGATGTCTTTGAAAAGGTGCTTGCTATTTAAAAAAAAACAAAAACAAAAAAAAACACAAAAAACAACTTACAATAGAGTAAGTGAGACTTAACATAGCTATGGTAAACTCCTGAAGACAATGCATGAATGAATGAAATGTGGCAAACACTGGAGAAAGTGGCAAGATCATGGGTTCAAGAATCCCACCAACTCCCAATTCAAACCCCTAGTCCCCATTCACTAGTTCTACAACACTGGGCAACTCAATGTTGCCCAGCCTCAATTTGTTATTGGAAAGGAGTAAAGTAATAATAAAACATATGGTTATTGTAAAATGTAATTAAAAAGTACATGCAGAGAGCTAAGCACTGTGCCTAGTACTACATACCTAGTCCCCCTTCCCCAATCATCCCCTCTGTCATCAAGTTCACTCAAAACATATCAAGGGGCTTTGCCACTGTCAATAGTTTACATCTCCCTAAATTCTAACAAGTTGTGTGCTGATGCCTTCCCGTAAAAATCAATCCAGATGTAGGGATCCAACAGAACAAGCACAGAGGACAGTTCCCAGGTCCCAGCTCCTTTTTGCCTAAAACTCCCTATAAGTGCATTGATTCCATCTTCACCTCATGACCTTGAATAGCAGGATCCTTTTTCAAGTCCATTTCTGCCCAGTCCCTCCCTCTCCCAAAAGGCTTCACTACTCAGTCTAGCCTTACCTAGAAGCCTATCATGATCCTCAGGGGACTAGCTCAGTGCAATCTAGGGTGAGATAGAGACCTAGTCTCTCTGTACTAATTCAATCGCTGTTATCTGTTCCATGGACAGGTGCAAAAATTTTGGAAAATCATTACTTTGTGGGGAAAAAATCACTGTTACTGGAATTAAGTTCCTCATGTCTGAAATTTACAGGCATACCTCGTTTACTGTGCTTCGCTTTACTGCGTTTCATAGCTGCTGGCTTTTTCACAAAGCGAAGGCAAGACCCTCCTCCTCCACCTTATTGTGATACTGGCTTTGTGATGGTCTGGGAAAGAACTTGCAACAGCTCCAAGTTATGCCTGTAATTACATTCCTCAGTGTGGCATACTCCTCCATCTTTACTCCACATCCTTACTATTCTTAGAGATAACGTGAAACTTACTGGATCCAAATGATCACTCTCTCCCAAGGTACAAAAGTTGTACAACTACTACCTCAATCAAATTTTATTTAAAACCACTCTCACCATTTCAAGTAAAACTCACCTGTGTACTACTGGAAAAGAAGAGCATGAACCTAATCTATACCCATCCCAGCCCTTGATTTGGGGCATCTCTACAATTTATTGCAACATCATTCACCACCTTGGAGTATCTGCATGAGTAACAGTACAAATGCTATTATTCAATGCGCAATTCCACCAATTTAAGGCGTACACATTTCAGCTTCAAAGGACTTCTGTTGTTGTTTTTTAATTCCAGGACAGAAACTGAATCACACATAAAAAGCGATTTCGTGTGAGAAACCAGATGACCCAAGCCCTGTCTAGGCCCAAGATATCTTCCTGACCCCTGTGTCCCCATCAGTGAAATGGGTGAGGCCCATATTTCACACTTAAGCATACTGTAAAGCTGGATGGCAAGCCCAGTGTCTGAGGTCAGCACAAGTCTAGTGTCTGCTGGCTGCCCAACCCTGGGCCCCTAGCCAGCCACCCACCTCCAGAGACAAGTGCCAGGGCATACTATAGTGTTTCCATTTAAGGCCTGCCACTTGGATCAGCCCATCTCTGAAATTTCTTACCACCACCTTTCCAGGAAGAATTTTTTTGGGGGGAAAGGGAGGTGGTGTCTATTTTTTGGGCTGTCTGCATCTCTCCAGCAGGGTTCTTTAAAACCACTGGGTCATGTCTCAATTTGAAGCCTTTTTTCAAAAAATCTACAAAATATATACGAGATCAGTCCTTTCTTCTCATGTAACTCCCAATTAACACAACTCAAAAAAAAGAAAGAAAGAAAAGAAAACCCAATAAAAGTAAAAAACCCATTGTATGACTTGGCTACCTCTTTCCAGAGCCAAATTAAGCACAACTTTTTAACCAAGGCTTTTCTTCTTCTACTAAGTGGAATGTCTTCTTCCCTAAGTTGCTTCCTCTCAGAGAGTCTAGAGAGCTTTTCTCCCATGCAAGGGGCGTTCAAACCTCCAGGGACATGGGGGTGGGAGACTTTTCTGGCACAAACTGGACAGAGCCGAGCCAGTCTAGAAGCAGACGGAAGTTAGGGGATCAGGCGGCCCCAGAGGCCCACATCTCTCCCCAGCGCGCCCCGGGTTCTAGCCTCACTGTTTTGGTTACAGTGTTGAAGGCAGGGTTTTAAACTTGGCGAAGTACCGTACAACATCTGTAACCACATTTGCCTTCTGGGGATCCGAAGATGAATCCCACATTCCTGGCTTTGAAGCTTTTTGAAACTGCAGCTAGGAAGAACGGAGGGAGGGAGGGAGTTGAGCAGAGTTTATTGGCTGTCTCTCCAACAGAAAATTCTTCTTGGAAGAGACGGATATTTTGAGGGTGGGGGTGTTTCGCCCATCCCTTCACTCCCTACCCAGATCAGCTAGGAAGGTGAGCCCCGCGGCGCGGAGAGACAGATCAACTTACAAGTCACAGGCGCTCAGCCTGGAGGAGTTCACCACATACATCTACATACACCCAGACACACAGACACAGACACACTGCACGCCAGCGACCCCCCGCTCCATGCCTCTGCCCTCTCCCACACCCCAGCAGCAGTTCAGGCCCAAAGCCAGGCAGTTTTGCTCCGAGGCTGCTTCCCCCACCGAGAGGGGATCGAGCTTCGGGGAGAAAAGAATGAAAGCGAGGGGGAGGCACCGCAGACGCCCACCCTCCCACCCCCAATCCCTGCCCCTTCTCCCGCCAGGCTCCCTCCTCCCGCGATCCCCCCGGCTCCCGGCGCGGCCGGCGACCTGCCCTCACCTCTGGTCCCGCCGCGGCTCGGGGCTGAGCCGGGGGAGGCGGAGCGCGAGCCAGCCGGGCGCTGCAGGTCGGCGCGGCGCGGCGCGGGGCGCGCTGCCCCGGCGGGCGCGGGGCGGGGCGGTGCAGCCGGCGAGGGAGCCCGGAACTCTGCGGGGCCGAGGGCCGGCGGCGGCCCCGAGCGGCGGCTGCAGCGGCGCGGGGCGCGGAGCCAGGCGCTTTCCAGCCCGCGGACCGGCGCGGCTGGCCGAGGAGCAGCGCGGCAGCGGCGGCGGCGGCAGCGGCAGCCACCGCGGGGACAGAGCCGAGGGAGGGCGGGGAGGCGGGGTGAAGAGGAGAAGGAGGCGGAGGAGGAAGGGGAGGAGGGCGGGCGGAATAAACTTCCCGAGGCGCCGCGGCACGAGCTGGGAGGACGGCCGCGGGCGGGGCGGGCCGGCGCTGGGGGCCGGCCCGGGAGTCGGTGGGGGAGGCGATCGCCGAGAGCAGCGTAGTTCCCCCGTGCGGAGCGGGAGGCTGCGGCGGCGGCGGCGGCTGCACGGAGCAGGAGCCGGAGCGGGAGGAGCGGGAGGAGGAGAAGGAAGTGGCTGCGGAGCGCTCGGCCAATGAGTGTCTGGAGCTGTGATTAACCAGGCAGCAACACATCATTTCCTCCCGGCGCAGATCCAGGGAGCCGGGAGGGAGAGGGAAGGCGCGGGGCGGGGCGGGGCCGTCCCCGCGCCCCCTGCAGGCGCCCGGCCAGGGGCAGCCCGCCGAGCCCCGCCGAGCCTGACCCCGCCGCCCCCGGCGCACCCCGCGCTGTCTCGCCGGCCGGGAGGAGGCTGCGAGCGCACCGCCCACCGGGCTCCTCGGAGGCGGGGAAGCTGCGGGGCAGGCCGGAGCCGGGCTCCCGCGGCCGGGGTGGGCGGAGGAGAGGCGCGCGGCGCGGGCGAGTGCCCAGGTAGGCGCGGGCGGGGCCGTCTGGACAGCTCCCGGGGCGGCGGGCGGGCGGGCTGCCTCCCCGGCCCGGCACTGCGGGCGGCGCTCTGCGGACGGCGCTCGGCTGGATCCTGCCTGTCAGCCTTAGGCTGGATTCTCAGAGAAGCCTCGGCATTCTCACCCAGGCCCTTTCCGATCTGCCTTCAGATGCCCTTCCACTCTGCTCATTTCCTCGGAGCTTGCCATTTTCCCAGTCCGCCTCATTAGTAATAAAGATATGCGGGGTTGAGAGGAGGGGTGGTATGGGGGGTCTGCAGTCATCGAGCCCTGTCCTAGTCGCCATGGGAGCTTACAGTGGAAAGGAAGGAACATTCCCCGCCGAAGAGAGGCTGACAACCCCGGTCCTGAGGAACACAAAAACACTCCAGTGGGCTAATATTATCCAGAGCATCAGAAAGGCAGGCAAGGGTCAAATTTTGCATGATGCCTGCGAGTGTAAAGAAAGCACCAAGCCATTTTCTCTACCCTCTAGACTAGCGTCTCTAGAAGCTTACAATGTACAGTCCGATCTCAAAGCAAAATAAGAGCAGGAAAGCCATAAATGGAAATACCATAAAGTATTTTTATTTCTAGATTCATGTATGCAGCAGGCATTTATTGGGTGACTGCAGTGCTGCAAAAGGTTGCAAAGGAAATGGAAGATCTGGGCCCTGCCGGTCAGGAGTTTACAATCTAATTAGGAACACAAGGCACATATACATGGAACAGCTAGAAAAGAATCCCAGGTGTTACAGAAGCAAGAAGATGGAGAAGGCCGGGCACATTTTTTTTTCATAAGGGGAGGGCTTTGTTCCTATGTGATTGGTGCAGATCAGGGGAGAAGATTCCAGGTCAGATCAAGCAAGAGTACCTCTCTGTATCCTTGCTCTTTAGAAAAATATAACAGGGACTGCAGTGTTACTTGGCCAGTTAGAAACTGTATGACCTTGGGCCCATTTTTTACCTCTCTAAGAAGGGAATAGAGCCTGTCTCACGAGACTTGTTGTGTGGTGCCAATGAGATTACACATGTGGGGAGGTTTTTCCAGCTGCTGTGTAAATGTTCCTCAGTCCTGTGCATTATAGTCTTCATTTTACTGGCTTCTTGTTGGTAGCCTTCTCTATAGTCTCCTCTCTGCTGTAAGCCCCATGAGGGCAAGGGCCAGGTTTGACTGCGTTCGCCGTGTATCATCTTGCCTAGCAGTGGCACATGTGGGTGCTCAATAAAGTTTTGCTGAATAAATGAACTAGTGAATCCTGTTTAAACTTACTTTTATCTGTTCCTTCAGCACTGGTTCCTTCTTATTTGTGGCTGGCTCAATGCAGAAAATCCTTTAACTCACCCTTTTGTGACTAACTTGTATTCCAGGAATCTATCTGGGAAAATTCTGGGTAGTTCTTCTGGCCTTGTAACATAAATTGATTGAAGGATGGATGGAGTGTGTGTGTGTGTGTGTGTGTGTGTGTGTGTGTGTGTGTAGCTGGAGGATACAGCCCTCCACACAAGCCTCATCTACACAAGGACACAGTCCTTTGGCTTTGGACACCTTTAATGCAGGGTTTCTCAACCTTGGTACCATTGACATCTTTGGCTGAATGATTGTTGGGGCTGTCTGGTGCATGGTAAGATATTTTGCAGCATCCTTAACCTCCATTCATTAGATGCAAGTGGGATGCCTTTTTTCCATAGTTCTGACAACCGAAAATGTCTCTAGACATTGCCAAATGCCTTCTGGGGGCAAAATAGTCCCCTATTGAGAACCACTGCCTTACCCTAACATATAATCCATTGATTTAACTCAGGTGGAAAACACGCCACTAAAGAAACTTGGAAGAACTGCATCTTCTGTTATTCTAAGAGTCTCAGATCTCCGTCATATGTTTCAAGGAGCAGGACTCTTGTTAATTAATTGCCTGCTGCATTGTGAGTTGGCATCTCTTCTGTTTTCTGCATATCCTCCTCCTTTACGCCCAGATCAACATGTTCATTTCTAAAAGTCAACAGCTTTCCAAAACTATTGGGAAATGGGGTCTTGAGCAACCTAAAAGTCCCGTACAGTATTTTCCTATAAAATTTAGGGAATTTATTTTGTAGAATTTTGCAGAGAGCTTCCTTGTTATGGCTAAGCTCTTAGACTTACAGACAATAACTATGGCTTCTCTGCACTTAGATGTGATACAGAATATAAATTGTAATTTTAAAAAATGATTTCACTTAAAGTATTTAAGCAGGCAACTACATTGAGTGATTTTCTTTCATCCTGAAGCTATTTTATTTTTGGTTCTAGAGAGTTTTTCTTTTACAGTGGTAGAAGAAAGCATGGTTTATTAACACCCATAAAGCAAAACTTAGCTTAGTTGTACATATCAACTTCCATCAGCAATTTGGTAGGGTGTTTGAGAGCTGTTGTTGTTGATGAGAATCCTGATTGATTAATGTACTGCTATTCAATTTCTAAAGGTTTCTTGAAGAAAAATAAAGATTAATGGTTGAAGAAATGAACAAATTCTGATTAAGTCTGTTCCTCAGTATGGGCACAGAGAACTAAAAAGCCCTGCTCCTAGCAGGCATTAGTACTGTGTTTATGATGTGAGCAGACACTTTTGTTCAGCAAAACAAAATCATCTATCTCATTAAATAAAGTTATTTGAAGCATGGGTTTTATAGTTGCTGTTTATATTCAGTTTTTGTATAGTGGCGTAATGGTCACAAGGATATGGAGATTAGTTTACGTCTAGTTTAGTGATTGTTCACATTTAAGTTAAACACTGAAGACTAGGTAGGCAATCAAACTACTTAAAAAACGGAGAGAGTTTGAGGGTTGGATGTAGTTTATGGTAAACTGATTCTACTAGTGCAGTGGTTGGCAAGCTGCAGCTCGCGAGCCACATGCGGTTCTTTGGCCCCTTGAGTGTGTCTCTTCCTAAGCCTTAGGAGTACCCTAATTAAGTTAATGACAATGTACCTACCTATATAGTTTAAGTTTAAAAAATTTGGCTCTCAAAAGAAATTTCAATCATTGTACTGTTTATATTTGGCTCTGTTGACTAATGAGTTTGCCGATCACTGTACTAGTGGCCCAGTACACAAATTTGTGCACATTGAAAGGAAATTAGTTAGAAGAAATATTTTAATATCACTATTCACCCTTTCTCTATAGTAGAAGTATCAGAGATGAAAGAAAATTAGTAAAATGTACGTGAAAATAACATAAATTGATTAATAAATAAACAATAACAACATGATATAACAACAAATATTTTCCATGAAATTTTTACTGTCAGATCTTTATCATTAATTTTAAAAAATATGCTGAGTATTCTGGAAAATTTATATCATTTGGACAAATTTCGCCTTTGCTACAACATCGAGTAAATTTCCCATCAGATGGTTTTTCATTGGAGAAATTTAGAGATAGGCAAAATTGACATGTAACAGTCTTTCCACCACAACTGTGTTCGATAATTGCATCCTCATTTACCTCATTTTTGCTATGAAGGCAGTTCCTACCAGTATTGGTAGTACTTGTCAATGACTGTTCTTCAGACATATTCTGTCGCCGACGTCGCTTTCTTTCAGCTTCAGAGGTAGGTTGTGCCAATAGTTGGTCTTCAGATACATTCTGTCAACGACGATGACGGCCTCTTTCGGCTTCAGAGGTATGTTGTGGCAATAGTTGGTCTTCAGACATATTCTGTCGACAATTTTGGCTTCAGAATGTCAACAAAAACATTACATCATTACCCACTGACCACAGCCACCGTTTCCGGGCTGGGCGGAGCTGTGGGCCACATTTTGTGCCATGGTAGCATCGGCTGCTATTTGGTGGGCTGTTGTTCTGGGGTAGTGGCGGGGCCTGTGTCATACTTGGGGGAAGCCGAGTGTTGCTTTGTGGGCACCAGGTCCGTGGTGCCATTTTTCTGTGCGCATCACAGCAGCTCCTGCATTAAACGTCTGCCCCCTGGTGTTCAGTGCGCATCATAGCGACTGGTCAGACACTTAGCATATTAGCCTTTTAGATATATATACATATTTTTAGACTGAAACTAAGACCCAGACCCTTAGGAGATCTCCATGTTCTTAAAGAAATCTATGAAATTTGTGCTTCTGCTTTAGTTATTATATTTTTCAAAGAAATTAATATCATATTGGAGAAATTAATGACATTCTGGATCATATGACTATCATGCAACTATGACCCTAGTACTCTTTTTTGCTATGTATCTATAAGAAATGCAATTTATTCAAATGCTCTATAATAATAAAAGCATAATATGCTAATTAGACCGGACATCCTTCTGGATGACCTTCCAGACAAAGCCGGGGCTGCAAGGGACGCCTGGGTCCTGGGAGCACGAGGGCCAGTGCCGGCAGCCCTAAGAAGGAAGGCCTACTCTTGCACAAATTTCGTGCATCGGGCCTTTAGTATTATCATAAAAATAATTGAAGGCATCACTGAGGGTCTGTGGGAATTTTTTTGCCTTTTAAAGATGTCTGTTCATTATTCAAGCATGAGAAATACTGACCCAGCTGCATCATAACTTTTCTTGGAGAAGATGAATTAAAAGGCCTTGACATCTGGAATTTGTCCTAATCCCGAGGCCCATAACAAAACCAA